AGAGAGCCTGAAGAAAATTTTGAAGGGGAAATTTCTTGCTCTACTTCTTCCTCTTTTAGTCCAAAGGCCCTTTCTGCATGGGAAAGACAGACATTTCAAACTGTATTTTTAGTTCATTTATTGCATACTTGTTTCTTGTAATTCTAAGCTAACTTGAAAAAGTGTATTTTAACCACTGAAGCTTTTTGCATCATTTACATTTGTTTGGCATCAAAATAATGCAAACTGTCTTCCTTAATAAACAATGTCAAGCCTCTCTGTTAGGCACAACTGTGACCACTGCAAGTTCTTCTGGAGTATTTCTGTGGGTATCAAAAATCTTCATGAGCTCTTGAACCTTGTTAAAGAACTAATTGTCTTTGAGTGTTTGAAGAAGTCGGGTGATTTCAAGACATGGGTTCAAAGCTGATTGCTATCAGAAGGCAATAAGCAAAACAAAAAAGCATTCAGAGAACTGATGAAAAATCTCTTCCTTTCTCAAGCACATCTTTCATTTTGACTCTTGAGATGCCATCACCTTATTGAATGACTAGCTGAGAAGACAGGGCTTGAACTCCTGATTTTGAAAGTCCCATTAGAGGATCAGCAAACAATCTTATTTCCTCTTTTTTGTGCTAAAAGGGGAGTAGGAGTGTCTGTGCTTTGTGACCGAAAGTGTTTTGAGAGATGCAGTGTCAATGTAAAATTTCAGTAAAAATTTGGAAGTGGAAAAGGAACCCAACTTTTTAATATGATAATCAAAGTGTTGTGTTGGGTTTGGGGCTGAATAACTCAAATTAATTCTAATAAATTCTAAACTAATGGATTAGCAGTGATCTGATGACAAATCGTTGCTGTTTTAGTCTGTACCAACCAAATTAAAGAGTTTGTGAGTGGTTCTGTCTAAAGTGCTGAGTCAGTCGCATAACAGAAGAGTAAACTGCCCTCTTCATTGCCGTTTAAGAAGTCAGGCTTGTGACAGGAGCTCTACACAGTATTTTTCTGAAATACGCCTCAAGCTATTTCAACTGGAAGTCTGCAGAAACCCTGTCTGCTTGCTAGTGCTCTGGCAGATGTGTGAGCATTTTTCCTATTCATAACTGCTTTGGAGTGCTTTCATTAAAGTAAGTAATTATTGACTGCAAGAATCAGATTAGAAACTGCAAAGAAAAAAGGGAAAATTTGATTCACTCTTTTTAAGCAAAGTGGAAGTGACATTCTTATGTGAAAATACCTTTTCTAAAATTTCATCTAAATGGATGCCTTGTGATGTTAGCATAATCAAGTAACCTAGAGGTACTGCTTCTGACTGTTAACTTCTTTGATTTGCCATATGCTGATGCCTGGTGCAGAAACAGCGCTCAGGAGACAGTACCCATCTGCTGAATGGCCCTCCATTTTTGTGTATCTTTACACTGGTTTAACTTGCTTCTAAGGTGCTTCCACTTGCAAAACCAGAAAGTTTGCCCTCCCAAAAAGGGGTTATGTTGGGTTGCTGCTCAGAGTCCTCAGGGGAGGGAAAGCAGAGCCCCAGGAACAGGGAGGGAGGTGGTGAAGCGGTGCTGCTCATCTGCCTGTGGGTGCAGGTCACGCCATACCTCAAGTTCCTGAGTTCATGGTGCTTAGAGGTGCCAGGGTAGAGGCTAGCCAGGAGTAGGATCTACTGTTTATAAAATCCTGCTACTAGTAAGAGCATGTGATAAGTTACTGGATGGCAAAGTGACTGGGAGTGATGTAAGAGATTATTCTTGTGGCAGATCTTGTTGCTGCTGAGTATCCCAGAGGAAATTTAAAAAGACTTTGGGAAGATTTGTCTTTTTATAGGAACTCTTTTAACACCGGGAATGGTTTTTAATAACAGTGCTACTTCAGCTCATCAAAACCTTGCTGAGCTACCTTGGGTTAAGGTGAAATGTTTGCTTTGGCCAGCAAACTCCTACTTAGTCCATGCAGTTACCTTGTGCGGCTGTTCCGGTGTTGGACTATGACATTTGGTAGATGACAAATCTGATCCTCTGTGTCTGTGAAGGATATAGCTGTTCTTGTGATCTTGCCTTGGAATGAAGAACTTGTTTTTTTCAGGTCTTGATTTTATTCTGTCTGTATCATTATAATTTGGTGGCGATTTGTGCACACATTTAACTTGTTTTGCAAAGGGGTTATACATACTCAAAGCACTGGAAGACGGGAGCCACAAAATAGGAGCTATTTCAGTAGAGGCTGTGGTTCTTCACATTTTTGCTGAAAGAAAGAGAAAGAATTTTTAAAGTATGACATGTCCTGAGGATCAGGTGATTCCAGAATTGTTTTCACCTGTACCATTTCTGCTATTCACCAGGTTCCTGTTATTGCCATGATACACTACCTTTTCTCTATGGTACCTTACATGAGTTACGAGGCAATGAAGCCAGCTGACTTTTCTTATTCTCAGTAATTACTAATATTCTGGAAGTGTTGATACCATTTTTGAAAGTGATGTTTAAGCCATGTGAAAGACTGCTTCATGTCAAGTAAGTCTGTGCAGAAGCGGGCTGCTGTCACCTCTTACATTATTTACCATTTGCAATAGGAGAAGCAGTAAAAGTCACACTGTAACCAGTGCTGGTTCAGTTTTGCCAGTGCTGTATCTGTCACAGGAAGATCTGTGGGCTAGTAATGTTGTACTGTCAGGCGCTTGATCCTGCAGAATCTATAGAGTGGATGCTTACAGTTATGAAGTTAGATGGTACCATGTTTCATAGGGATTTTTTTAGTTGATTCTTTGCCATGGCATCTGTTGTGATGACATGCCTTAAGTTAACTGTTCTTACAGTTTAGTAAGGCTTTTGTCAGACTTTAGCAAGGTAAAGAACAAGTTCTGTAGTTGTCCTATTGGTCGTGCTTGCACTGTATTCATATATTCAAAAAAATCTCTCTTAAGATTTTGCTCCTGCAGTCTGTGCAAAATATGTATCCAACTGGGGAAGTTTGTTCTTAGAGACTTCCTTGTTAGTTATTTAAGAGCCCAAGAGGGGATGATCCCAGGAAATTAAGCTGTTGTCTCAGAGCTGTAATTGCCTTGTGATACGATCTCGTGTTGAAATGGTATCTTTCCTTTACATGAAACCTTCTGAGCTATTGCACAGCATGGCGGGGGGGAGGCAGGGTGGGGGGTGGGTGGGTTATAAAACACACAGACTGAAAGTTCCCAGCTCTGTAAAGGGTACTTGAGTTACAGCAAGGAGGAATATTCCCCTCACAGCTAATAAAATTGTCATAACTTCAAGGATACTGCTGTAGTCCTCTTAGCAAAAGCTCAAAGCTGCTGCTTGTGCTGGCGTGATGGAGGATGAACAGGTGGATAATGGGGAATGTAACAGCAGGGTAACAGTGAGAAAGCAGAGCTGATACACAGTGATAATTACATGTGAATTGAGGAGGAGGGAGTGAGGTAGAAGTGGAATGTAAATGCTGTGGAAGACACTGGCAGAGAGGAAAGGAAAATGGTGGGGGGAAACGATGGCCCCTGGTCTCAGTGAGTGCCCCCAGGAGAAGAGGGAGGCTGCAGGAGGAGCATGTGGGGCTGCGTTTCTGTGTCGTGCAAGATGCTGCTTGCCTTACCCAGCCCTCTGTGGGTAGGGTGCTGAGGAGGTGAAGAGAGCCCCAGTCCTGCTGTCAGCTTCACAGCTGGCTCCTGTCAGCACGAGAGGGCTGACTGCTGGTGAAGCATCTGCCTGTACACAGGGACCGTGTTGCAGGGCTGGAGGCTTTGCAAGGCTGTTGAAGCCAGGTGTCAGCTTCCTGCCTGCAACCGTGGAAAAGGTGCTTGACAAAATGAAATTAGCATCACAGCAGTAACACTGCACATATCAATTAATTCCACGTGCCCCAGATGTGCTGGAAATCCTGGAGAGAGCATGCTTCGTGTTATCTCCTACCTCAGTTCAATTTCATCTGAGAAATGTGTTGACGTGCATAGAGGGTGACTGAGAAAATGAACAGCATTGCAAATAGACTGTTGCAAATGATGAGAGTGCTGCAGCCTAATGAATTAAGGCAGTGGGAATGGGTATAAGCTGCTACCTGGGTGGTTTTAACTGATGTGTTCCCTAATTGCAATGGGATAGAAATGAATGCCTAATCAGCTGCCATTCCACAGCAAACTAGTAATAAATTAAGTTGCAGAAACAGAGTGTTTTGAGAGCATCTGCCAGTTCACGTGCTTTTCTTAGGACGTAACAACATATAATGGTGCTAGTGTCTACCACAGTGTCTGCTACTTCTGTTTTAAAAATGAGTAACAGGGAAGGACTTGGATACTCTTACAAAGAAGTATGGACTTTCTCACCAATACCTGGGGGACAGTCAGGTTTTTAGTAATTTCAGCAAGTCCCTACAAACACATGAGAAGCAGCTATAGACCAGTGCTCATAGGCATTACTGTGCATCTGTAAGCAGTGTTAAGGCAGGAATTTGTACAGCCAAGAAGCTCTGTGCTGTAGGTGAGGTAATGATGAAAATGTGACAGAGGTGGAAACAACTTTTTGGAAAGAAAGAAAACAGGGAAAAATAGAATCGTACAATCATGTAGGTTGGAAAAGACCTTTAAGATTATCAAGTCCAACCGTTGCAGGTGTTGCCTGCAGAGTTACTGAGGGTGCGCTCAATCCCCCTGTCCAGATCATCAATAAAGATATAAAACAAGAGTGGCCCCAGTACTGAGCCCTGAGGAACACCACTAGTGACTGGGCACCAACTACATGTGACACTATTCACCACCACTCTTTGGTGGTTTTTTACCCAGCAAACAATACACCTTTCCAGGCCATGAACAGCCAGTTTCTCCTGGAGAATGCTGTGGAAGACAGTGTCAAATGCTTTACCAAAGTCTAAATAGACGGTGTCATCATGCTTTCCCTCATCAACCAGGTGGGATTGCTAGGCTGTTGCAAATGCGTATTTGTTGTCTTTCATTTGAGAAGAGTGTTAATCTGTTCCACCCTGTGTATAATAACAACTCTGTGGGGGCTGTGTACTTGCAGACCTACATTGGCTCCATAGTTGCCTCTGTGAACCCTTACAAGAGCATCCCAGGACTGTACGATTGTGCTGCCATGGAGCGATACAGCAAGCACCACATGGGAGAGATCGCACCTCACATCTTCGCTGTGGCCAACGAGTGCTACCGCTGCCTTTGGAAGCGCCATGACAGCCAGTGCATCCTCATCAGGTAAACGGCAGCTGCCCCTGCTGCTTTGGTTGCCCCTGCCGGTGAGGCTTCCAAGGTGATTTAGGAGCATGGGTTTGGACCGCATAGAGAACTCCAAAAGCATGCAGGTTTTTAAACCATCAGTTTTGGAAGAGAGTTCTGAACTTCCTCTGTATCGTTCTGTGGACCTCTAACAAAATGTTAATTTTTCTTACGCAGCTTCCAATATCATTTAATGAAAAAAATCTATTGTATTTTTGAGCATTTATTGCTACTCACCCATCTAATGTTACCCTAAGTGCTTTCCCCACTAGTTAAAAAATCCCTGTGCAGCTCAGTAGTTTGTTACTACTAAACCCTAAATGCTGTGTCAAGAGGGGAAGAACAAATAACCTACAAGTCTTGAGAAATGTGCTAAATAAGAATAGCAAAGGAGAAAACCCTTCTCATTTCAGCCACTTAATTCTGCCTGATTAATCTTCCTTGCTTAATCTTGTTGTGTTTTAATTTAATGGTGATAAATAGCTTCCTGTTTGATCCGCTGTGGCACTGGTACTCAGGGTTTTGCTGCTGCCCAATGTACATTGAGAGCAGTTGGCATTTCAATAGCTTTTTGCTGCTTTCAGCTCCTCCTTCCTTCTTGCTCCAGAAGAGCTGAAAACGCAGCCAGCTCTTTTCCCTTTCCCTGCCTGCCAGCTCAGCTGCGTTGGCTCGCATGCAGGCAGGGAAACTGAAGCCTTGCCTGCAGGATCAGGAAGAGCAGCTTGGTGGCAATGGCAGTGTGGGAGTGATGTCTGGGGGTGACTTGAGAGAGCTTGTGTTTCCCTCCCCTCTCCTCTCTCACCTTTGCAGTGTTTGTGATTAAGCCTGTTTGCAGCACATACTAAGTGTGAAATGCCCTTCAGACAGAAGGTGACACAATTTCGGCTGTCTCACAACCTCCACAGGGGAGCCCTTGTGACAACCATGGGACCATGGCATGGGTAGAGAGGGGAATGAGGCAGAGTGAGAGCAGCACCTTCTGCAGGACACAGTTTCTATTGGCTTTTAAGATTACAGGCCAGTTTGCAAGGCTTCCTGGGTAAGAGGAGGATTTGGCACAGGTAGTTCAGCACCTGGGCTGTCGTTAGAAATGTGGATCATATGCAACGCATCTAGGTCTGGTTCCAACTTTCTGCAAGTTCTTGGGTCACAGTCCCTGCCTGCCATCACCTCTAGGCAGGTTCTGCCTGGCTGCGGCACAAAGACAGAACTGATTGCGGTTTTCAGCTTTCTTCAGTGTATTTCTCCTTTTTGTCACTTAATACATAGTGCTGTGCATACAAAGCTGAGTCCAGGTGACACTCCAAGAAAAGATGGAGTGTGCAAAGGTCTTTGTCATGTGCAAATAGCTAGCCTGGACTCATGCTTTCACATTTTAATGCCAAGTAGTTACTTGTTAACGGTCCATGTACCCAAATTTTGGGAACCAAAATCATTTCTGGTGCCTAGCAGGTGGCCCCCAGTATTTTTGCCATTTTGTACCAGCTCAAGTATCTTCTTTTTCCTGACAGTTCCCCAAAAGCTGCCAAGAGAAAAGCAGGTTGTGTCCTAAAAGGATGTAAGCAGAAATCTCTGATATTCTGGAGGAGTCTCCAGCAGTCCCCACTGTGTAAGCCATGGTAAAACTTGGTTAGATAAGCCAGAATGTGGAGAAGTTCTGCATTAGCAGTCCCTTTTAAAACAATGATTTGTGTAAGTTCAGTGTTTTAGACAATGGTCACAGTACCAACCTTGTGAGGGTACCTTGTTTCTACAGAAACTGGGGGTACATGCAATTCGAATAAGAAAAATAAGAAGACAAATCTACTTTTCTAAACCAATATTATCTGCTGTATTTCTGGAGGACTCAAGGCAGGATTTTTTAAGATCACTGAAAGTTTGCAGTGGCCCTTATGAGGCTGAGGAAAGTGCCTGTGGTCATATACTTAGTTTGGAGCATCAGAAATGGAGGTGTTACAATGTGCTTATCAAATTCAGCATCTTGGTTGTTCCTGCTTCATCTTTTACTGGCTTAGAGTTAGGTATTGCAACAAGGCACTGCCAGGCTTTCTTCGTTGCAGCTGGTATTTGATAAAAATGGTAAAATGGAGCTCTGCAGTGTCTGAATTCAGGCAAATATTCTGGTCTTGTATTTAATGTAAGAGATTATATAAAGGAAAATCTGCTGCATCATGAAAACACAGTTAACAGTTACATCCAATTAAAATGAGTGACTTGTTCGTGTAGGCTTCATGCTCTGAAATGCAGTTTCTCCTTCTCCTAACTTTTGGATCTTAAAATCCCAGTGGCACCCATGAGGTGAGGTGCTGAACGCTTCCTGCTGATCTTCTGGACTTGAAGTGCCCTCTGCTGGCGTGCAGAATTAGCGCAGCTCTGCGTTGGAGAAAAAAAAAGCTTCTGCTGTTTGGAAATGCTTGGGATATTTGTCTGGGTGGGGTAAGATGTGAAGGTTAACGCGAGAACCTGAATTAATAAGCCGTCATCGGTATTGACTCAATGTATAATATAAATGCAAGACCATTTTTCCAGTGTAACCACCCAGACCAGAGGTAAAGAGGAAGGAAATGCAGAGGAGATTATATTAAATGGAGTCATCTGAAGATGCTTATTTACCAGTCTGTGTTACACGGGCTTATTTTAATTCATGAATATGCTGCAAAAAAAAATGATTTAGCAGCCTAAAATGTCAACAAAATGTCATACTGAAGGAGCTGTGCACAAACTCTGCATTAGCATTTTTACAGAGTTGTGAAATGGGATTTTTGCTCTCCCAGGCTAAAAATCCTTTATCTGGCTGTTTATTTGTTTTCATGTAGACAAGAACATCTACATCAGTGAATGCTCAGCTTCGTGATCATCTGAACCTTAACCACAGGGTGCAGTTTAATTTAAAATGGGGGGGGGGGGGGGGAGCCCACCACAGTTAAATTCAGTGCTACAACAGACATGTTAAAAAGAAATAATATTAACATCTTCTGATTTTTCAGCTGGGTGCCTCAGCAGGAGCGTGAAGGGAGTCCATCTTACTCAAGGAATAGCCAAACAGCTTGTCCTGATGTAGGGAAGGGATCAAATTCCCCCATGATTATCTATCTGATGTTCATAAGTCAGGACCAAGTTCAAACCTCTACTCCTTTATTGGAAGAATAGGAAAATATCTGTAGGGGAGGTTTGGGTTTTTTTGTTGTTGCTACTTTATTTAAAGTGGTCTAGTCTGTGCACAAGCAAACACATGCTCTTCTCTGAGACAATGGCAGTTAATATTACCTGAAAGCATTCAAAAAGATGTGTAAAGCAGTTGAAGGAGCAGCAGCATTCACCCTGAATGACATTCAAGTCAGTGCCGTGAGTGTAAAATCAGTCTGACAGCAGTTTGTTCTCTCTGTTATCATATGATGGCCTGACATTTTTGTTTTGTTGTTCAGCTTGAAAATCAATGTGAATAAAACCAGTCTTTGGATGAGACCCAGACTTGTGATGGGAAGACATTCGTATGAGACTGACACACCAAAATTCAGATGTGCCTCTGATGAACTGTATTTGCTGAAGGGCCTGTTTTGTCTGTGTGCATTTGTCTTTGTGGTTTTAAAGCTAGAAGACAGAACTGAGAAGTGATTCAGAGTGGTGCTGATGCTGCCTCACTCGGGTTATGGCCTTCAGAATGAGGAGTCTCTCTCAGTGACCCCTTTTCCACTGCAGCAGTCTGGAGCCTAGGCTGCTACGCCCTTAGCGAGATGCCCTGCGTAGAGCAAGTCATGGAGAAAGTCTAGAGATCTCCTAAGTGGGGGCCTTCTGGGTTGCTGTCACACTTAATATATTCACAATATTGAATGTGGTGATGTAGAATGAGCTGGCATTTGAACTCATGGGATGGAAAGGTTGCTGGAAATGTTGGCTGTGCACTAAAAAACATCACCCTTTTACTAGCCTTGGCAACTTCTTGTAGGTGTAGGCTTTCTAAGGAGTCTGAAAGATTGATCCCACTTAACGTACCGTTAGTATATGTGCTGTAAGGTCGAATAAACACCTTTAAAGTTGAGCATTCTTGTTCTTGATTTTCATCTCATTGGTAATAACTGTTTTTTATAAAACCTTTCATAAAGGAAAAATGTAGAGCCAACTTGACACACATAAAATTATGGGCCCCAAGCTGAACAACAGCATTCAGGGGTGATATCTTACTGTCATGCCAGAGAGCTCCAGGAACCCATGCACTTGGTGCTCAATAGTTATTGTAAAACTGAATAGAGCGGTTACTAGTAAATGAGTAGAGGACATTGGGTAAATACATCCTTTGTTCATGCCTTGAGTATTTTGCACAAGCCTTTTCCCCCCTTGCTTTATATCCAGGAGGACGTTGAGGTGATTCAGAGGAGTGATTGGAAGTATAGTATGGCTCTGTCTGTGGGAACCGCTAATGGAAACAGGCAACCTGAACTGGGGGGCCTACTCATGGAATCATGGACAGTAGAGAGAGTGCTGCGATAAGTTATTGGTTTCTCCTTCCAATATGAGATCTAAGGGGCATCAAATGGTGTTAATGGGAGGCAGATCTGAAAGAACAAGACATGATCATATGCTTTTTAAGGGAGTATGGTTAGAAATTCATGGATGATAAATCCACTGAGGGTTAAAAGACACATAGAAACTAGGTTTTAGATCAGGAACCCTCTGAACAGCAAATAGCTGGAATATGAAAGAACACTGAAGGAAAGTATTGTATGTCTTCCTTGGGCATCTCCGTTTGGTGACTGTCAGAGATATGACAGTGGGCAGGTAGATCTTTGGCCTGACCCATTTCTGGGCCTCTCGTAGTCTACAAAAAAATCAAGAGTGTATAATTGTGCATAATACCAACTGTACCAGAGATAGTCACGGGAAATACTTTTCCATTAGCTTTGGATATCTCAGTTGCTCTCAATTACAGTGGGGTAACTTTCAGCTTCCATAGAACTACAGATGCTCCAGAGCATGGGACAAGAGGGTGGGAGGAGAGGAAGGATGGTGTCAGTGAAAGAGTTGATGTTCTCCTTGGTACCTATATCGCTGCTGTTGAGCTATACACTGCTCAGAGGGTGGGAATTTAGGCAGGAATAAGTACGTATCCCTTTATGATTTTTTGCAAAGGTTCGTGAAGCTCTTTCAATGCTTGCAGTAGAAATGTTTTGTACAAGGGGTGGATATTAAATATAGGAAATTTTAAATATTTCCTTTGTTGGCTCAGGAACATAGTGAGTGAGGGCCTGCAAAGAGAAAGGGGATAAATACAAAAAAAGGCAGACATCAGTAAAGCTAAAGTAAAAATACTACAGAAGTTGTTTGAGATGGTGTAAGTACGATGGACGAATCGTACTTGCATATCAGCAGATAGCGTATCCTGTATGAAGTTTTATGAAGTATTTTAAAGACTCTGTAGTTCTTCTTGACATCTTCATGCCATCCAGAGGGACCTTGACACACTTGTGAGGTGGGCTGATGCCAGCCTCATGAAGTTTAACCTTGCCAAGTGCAAGGTCCTACACCTGGGTCAGAGCAATCCCAGGCACAGCTACAGGTTGAGCTGAGAAGAGATTCAGAGCAGCCCTGCAGAGAAGGACTTGGGGGTGTTGGTTGATGAGAAAATGAACATGAGCCAGCTTCAGTGTGCGCTCGCAGCCCAGAAAGCCAACCGTATCCTGGGCTGCATCAAAAGGAGTGTGACCAGCAGGTCGAAGGAGGTGATCCTGCCCCTCTACTCTGCTCTTGTGAGACCTCACCTGGAGTATTGTGTGCAGTTCTGGTGTCCTCAACATAAAAAGGACATGGAACTGTTGGAACAAGTCCAGAGGAGGGCCACAAGGATGCTCAGGGGACTGGAGCACCTCCCGTATGAAGACAGGCTGAGGAAGTTGGGGCTGTTCAGCCTGGAGAAGAGAAGGCTGCTTGGAAACCTCATAGCAGCCTTCCAGTGTCTGAAGGGGGCCTATAGGGATGCTGGAGAGGGACTCTTCATTAGGGACTGTGGTGACAGGACAAGGGGTAATGGGTTAAAACTTAAACAGGGGAAGTTTAAATTGGATATAAGAAGGAAATTCTTTCCTGTGAGGGTGGTGAGGCACTGGAATGGGTTGCCCAGGGAAGTTGTGAATGCTCCATCCCTGGCAGTGTTCAAGGCCAGGTTGGACGAGGCCTTGGGTTATATGGTTTAGCGTAAGGTGTCCCTGCCCACGGCAGGGGGGTTGGAACTGGATGATCTTAAGGTCCTTTCCAACCCTAACGATTCTGTGATTCTATGATTCTTGGGAAACACTTAAATTTCACCTACCAAACTGTGTCTCATGGCTTTCTGAATGCCTTTTCCCTGATTATTTTTGTAATTGTTAGCAGTCATTTGCAGGAAAATGCCAGGCTGCTTTCTTGGGCTGCCCCTCTCTCCTTTGCTGTTTTTGATCCAGAAAGCATCATTATACTTTGCCGTAACCTAAAATCACTCAGCAGTGGCCCAACAGAAGACTGTCAAATAGACAGCTTGCTCCATGTGCCCAGTTGTGATCCATCAAAGTCAGTGACAAAACACCCACTTGCTACAATGGACAGAGTAGGATGAGATAAAAATCTCATGATGAGATCTCCTGTAAACTGGAGTAAGCTTGAATTAGGTACAGCTTAATTAGGAAATAGAAAAACTAGGAATTAGGCTGCATCTTATGATAGAATGCCATGACTTCAGATGAAAAGTAAGCACACTAGACAAACTTTCAACTGCAACTTCTGTTTCTTAATGTCTCACAGTGTATTGTTAATTACAATGCTACATAATTGAAGGGGAATGATATAGAAGAAATGAGATAGATTTATACCTTCCCTTTTTTAGAGTGTTGGTTTTGAAGAGAAGTATATTGCTTTCTGTTTACATCAGCATGTTTGCTTGCTAATTAATCTAACTTCCTAAAAACTAACAATTTTTAAAGTCTCAGTATAGCATCATCAAATAGCTTTGTACTGCTGTGGATGAAGAGGAAAGGTTTTACATCTCTGATAGTGTTGAGAGGTGAAAAGTGTGTATTTTGAAGTAATGTGTATCTGGTTTATTTGGCTGGGCATTTAAAAAGTTTGATTAAAGAATATGTAGCTCACTGAGAATATCAGTATTAATTATACTAGTAGCCTTTGTGTGTTGTAATATGCATTGGTATCTCTAACCTCCTCATTCTCACAACAGGGCTCTCTCCTTAGCTAGATTGCTGCAATGTAATGCCAAACTTTTTAAGCTTAATTCATATTCTGGACTTTCTCCCCAGCCATTGCCATGCCTTTGTTCTAACTTTGTTCTTCCGTGTTGGTGAGAACTGTTTGATAGCTGTTGTGTTCAGAATGCTCTTCGTTGCCTCATTGGTGTTGTTCATCCTTATGTAATCAGCGCCTTGAAATGCTGTCTGAACATTGGCATGATGTCTGAAGATAGTTTGAATTTTCTGTTGAATGTCATATTCAGCAAGCTTAAAGGTGTATTCTGCTGCTGTTTGGGTATAATTTCTAATCACCTCAGTCTTCCTAACCTCCAGTAATTTATGGTTGGGAGGGCTGGCCAGACAGAGGGCTTTTCCACTGGCAGCTGGAACTTTGAAAACACTTCCCTCCTCTTACTTCTTTCAGTGGTGAAAGTGGTGCTGGCAAGACGGAAAGCACTAAGCTGATTCTCAAGTTCTTGTCTGCAATGAGCCAACATTCGCTGGAGCTCTCCTGCAAAGAGAAGACCTCCTGTGTAGAGCAAGCTATTCTTGAGAGCAGGTACTAGGTCCTTTAATACACAGGCATTTTTTCCAGAAGATGTAATCCTTGTTATTGAAATGAGAAGTTGCAGTGTAGTTAAAGATGGGGGCATGTTTACTGAACAGTAATATTGGAAAGGAGGAAATTCTCCATTAAACAGAATTACTTGGCTGCTCGAGTGTTGTGAGCAAAATGGTCTATTTTATTGAGGCAAAAAGAAGCAGAGTTTTGAAATGGACAGAGCTTTAATCGTGGCTTTCATTTGGGGGGGAGGGGGGGGCTGAATTCAGATAATCAGAGTGAGGAATGGGTGGTGGGAGGGAGAAGCCATTGGTTTGGTTTGTATAACCTGAGGATAAGGTAGAACAAGATACAGCATGTATGAAGTGTGCAAATGATAAAAGCATGCTGAGGGAAGGGAGGATAAGGAGACTTGATAAGACAGATGAGCAAATACATCAGATAAATTGAACAGACTCTATGCAAAAAAAAAATCTCTGTTCAAATGAAGTAACACATGATTCTTAACTATTTAAAAGGAAAGACAATTTGAGATGCTATTACTTCCATTTATCGTACTTCATCTCTTCTTTACGTGCTCTATCTTGATAATTATTTCTTTTTCAGTTGCCTTAGGACAAGGACTGTTTTTCCTACATCTGTCTAGCAACTTGCATGTGCTGAGATGTCTTATAATTTGAGTATTGCAGTAAGAATTGTGTGCATCTTTTGAGTAGTTACAGAGTAAGCTGCAGAGCAGCTTAGTACCATTAATCCTCCTGTTGCTTGAATACTTGCATCTTTTCATAGAAAATTGGGATGCCTATTGTTAATGATTGAGGGTATTACTGAGGATGTAGGCTGAGGAGGGTGTCAGAAGCGAGCTGTTCAGAGTGCTGTTCGTTTCAGCAGTCCCATGTGAAGCCGTTGGCATGCTGGTCACACATTAATGCTCTTATCGTTCTGTATTTTCACAGCCCAATTATGGAGGCTTTTGGCAATGCAAAGACTGTTTACAACAACAACTCAAGCCGCTTTGGGAAGTTCATTCAGCTGAACATCTGTCAAAAAGGAAACATTCAGGGAGGAAGAATTATAGATTGTATCCTCATTTGGTGATTTTACACCCCCCCCCCCCCCCCTTATACCTCTGTGGAGGGCTTGCTAGAGAAGTGCTTTGCCCTTGGCTGTCCTTTCACCCTGTCTGGAAACATGCACAATTAAATAGAGCTGATGGAGCTGCGAAAGGGAAGCAGTAGCACCAAATTATGCATGTGCTTGTACACACAAATACATGTCCATTTGTGGTGGGGTGAGGTGTATATACTCTCAGAGGATCAGGATCTTGTATTGCTAGTGCTGACATGGCTCTTGCACGTTCCTACCTAGTGAGCTAAACCAGCCTGAGTTCTTGGGGATAACTTCAGTTGTCATCTATTTCCTTCATTTATTATATCCAAAGATAAATTCTAACTTTTCTGGAAAAGCACTTGAAGGAGCAGAGCTGCTGAATTTCTGGAATATGAGCCTGGGTGCGTTAAATCCTTGGATTTATCCTGCATTTGGCAAAATTGCGCTCTAAGCCAGCTCCACCAGAGCAGCAGATGTGTAGAAATGATGAATATACCCAGGGTATCCTACCTAGTGTTTTGAACATAAGCTGCTTTTGTAGTGGGACAAATTTCATCCTTACAGCTGTTTCCAAGTTTTAGGGAAATGAAAAAGGAAAGGAAAGCAGATGTATAAAATCCAGAATATCAGAAGTCTAGTTTTGATGGGATGGAGGAGCAGGAGGTGTGGAAACGTACTGATATTAGAACTGCTGCAATATCATTGTTGTTGCTACTTTATTCATTTTGCTATAGCAGTAGGCATAAGAAAAGGCCATGATGCTCTTCTGTTGTCTCAGATGAAAGAAGGAACATCATAAATAGCTTGTGCATTTTAATTGCTTTTTACTTTATTCCTTGACTGAAGTTTTTTCTTCCTGGCTATAGATTTATTGGAAAAAGTAAGTTGATGTTGGCTTTTTCTCAGTTAATTTTGTTTGACTTAATATTTTTCTTTGAAATTGTGTATAAAACATATTCTTAAAAAATATTGCTTAAATGGAAACTATTTTTTACTTTGACAGAATCGTGTAGTAAGACAAAACCCTGGGGAAAGAAATTATCATATATTCTATGCTCTGCTGGCAGGGATAGAAGAGAGAGAGAAAGGTGAGTGGCAAAGCACAAGCCACACAACTGCGGTGGCTTCCTGCTAGTGGTCAGCCATGGTGACAGTAGTGGAGAATTTAACTGCAGAAACCCACTAACCCAAGCAGAGAAATAGGTTATTTATTCAGCTGGGATTCGATGAGTGTGAACTTGAGCTCAGCTGGATAAAGCAGCCTGCTTAGTTGAAGATTGTCACTGAGCTGCTGGTAATTTTTCTCCCAGCTCCTGCTGTAGCCCTGGGAAAATTACCTGGGGATAAACATGCCTCATTCTGTTCAAGCTGAATATTTTTGCTGGTACTAAATAACTCCACAGCAACAGAGAGAAATAATTCTGGTTCCCCTAATCCTCTCTCATAAAGAATAAATCCACTGAACAAAAGAAATGACATTTGTATATGTGCAAAATTGCCTAAAGCTGTCTCGCCATCTCCCTTTGGGCCTGCTGTCTTTGCATGCTAAAAAGTAGAGTTGTCTCTAATGTGCAGCTAAATTAAGCAAAAACCAGCAAAATAAAAACCCAAATCTGTTTTTAATATAAAACATTGGTTTTCACATCACTGTAATTTCTGAGCATATGAATTGTGATCTGTTTAACTCTGACATAGTGATTTTTGGGGTGCTTTTGTTTTGGGCTTTTTTGTTACTCATCCTCTTTTCTCCCATGATTAGATGCTTTTTACTTGTCTGTACCGGAGAACTACCACTACCTGAATCAGTCTGGATGTATAGCGGATAAGACAATCAGTGACAAAGATTCTTTCAAGGAAGTCATTGTGAGTTGTTTCCCTAGTTCTTTATGCTTTAAAAATGCTGGAAGTTCAGGTGTCTGGGGCCCACTGGCAGAGCAGGGAACAAAGCCTTCTTGTGCTTACCTGGACATGCAGCTCTCTCACCAAGGCACTAATTTTACAGGGACTTATATTTTATCATAATACTTCACTGTCATTTTGAGCATGTCTTTACCTTCCCTCCAGTATTTGATTTTTAATCTACCATTTCAAAGTGTGCTGTAATTTAGTGAAAGGGTTACATTTTTGGAATTAAAAGAATAGCAGTTGGGAAGACAGTAAGGCGTTTACTTGCCTTTTTCCTTCCCTGCATTGTTTTATATTACAGCTATGTCTGCTTCCACTGTTTTTCCATCCTAAAGCTTTACCCAGATTGTGTCGCATCTACAGATGGCGAGCATCTACATGCTCCCCATGTGCAGTGCAGCACATGGGGAGAGAAGCACCTCTGCATGTGTGATTCTCTATGTTGCAGATGGGAGATCCAGTTGTATGGAGTAACTTACACAACAGAGTTGAAGAAAGTGTAATCACAGATTAAAAACCAGGTCCTGGTGGAGGCTTTTTCTGAATGGCTCTGTGTCTTATACCCACACCAATTGGCTACAGCAATTAGTCTGTACTGACTGTTAGGAAAATTACTAATTGCATACTATATCACTGAGGTAATATGTGTTAGATTTTAAAAATCAGACAAAATACTTGGTTTTATGACCTTCACCAAATTATTTTTGCTTAGCTATCTGTCAGGCTGGCAAATTAACGTGTAGTGGATGCAGCAGTTATTTTTAGTGTGAAAACCCTAGTTTAGTATGCTGGAAGGAGGTGCTGGAAAAGTGGGTAACTTAATCTATATTGTAGTCACATGCTTAGGTTGATTACTGTGACATTTAATTTGTGCTAATCATCCCAGGGTAGGCAGAGCATGAAATCAGCTGGGCAGGTGCCACTTATGTGCTGCCCATAGTGTAGGCAGACTTGGAGCAGGGGCTGAAGCTGCTGGGCTGCATTCCCAGAGCAGGGGGTAGGCAGAAATCCCACAGTTCATCTTCTCTTGTCTCCTCCAATTGCAGTCATCTCCTTTGCTTACTTTTAGTGTGGTTTATGTCCTTGAAGTGTTACTGAAGTGAAACTCTTTAATGGGAGACAGGGAGGAACTGCATGGTGAGGGTGGAGAGGAACTCCTAGTGCTGTCCCCTTTCTTAGAGCTCTGGTGTGAAAGGTCTGTACAAAATAAACCCTCAACCATTACCTCTTCTATGCTTTTAATAGTAGGATGAGGCTGAGGCTTTTCCGTTTGTAATTGACGATTTATGAAAGGTAAAATGTGTCATGTGTCATCTGTCATGACACCTGCAGTGACCACATCATGATGGTCTAACTGTAAGTGTATAAAACTGATCTGCGCTCAGGCAGGCTCATATCAGGCACAAATTTGGAAAATCTGATAATTTCAAGAGGCATAACAATTATGCCTTCTGTGTCAGAGAAAAGTGTATGTTCCTCATTTTGTTTTAATATTTCTTTAGATTGAGATTTGCTGCTCTCATTTATGCAGTTGAACCTTGATCATTGCCATATTGGTTATTCATAAATTCCACACATTTTATATAGATCTCTTTTTCTTGCTCAATTTTGCTGTAAGACATCAGACTGCACTGGTAAGATGTGTGTTTAGTTATCAGTTACTAATGGAAATTAGTGAAATTGTGTCTGTTGCACGACTCAGTAGGTCATATAATATATAATTTTAATGAAGAATTTGCAAGCAAATGACGGCATCCTTACAGCATCAGAAGGAGATTTCTTAAAACCAGAGCGATATTTAACATGTACAGAGATGTCCCTGCCATGTATGACAGTGTATTCAATTTGCGATGAAAGCAAAGGAATTCACTCTTGCCAGCCCTCTGCCAGTCCTGACTTGCTTTTCTAAGACCTGACAGCACAGTTGATGGGTTTGTCCTTGTCCCTATTTTGGAGTCAGTGTGCGTGTTAGTAAAGAAGCTCACATGTCATTCCAGACTGCAATGGAAGTGATGGAGTTCAGCAAGGAGGAAGTGCGAGAAGTTTTGAGGCTGTTGGCTGGCATTTTGCATCTAGGAAATGTTGAGTTCATCACTGCTGGTGGGGCACAGGTGTCCTTTAAAACAGGTAAGAAGGCTATGCATCCAAATGTACATGTTTCTTGAGGTTGTGAAAGCTATATTTGTTGCTAGTATATCTGACTATAGGAAGGACAAACATTGAAATGGTTTTACTGCTTTTTAGCATCTGTAAATATTGATTAAAATGTTATTTTGGGGGAGGGTTAACAAATAATGATAATTGGTCAGCTGCCGAATGCTAAGTCCTAGTTAGAGAAGACCTTGGGCACATATTTATTCCATTAATAGCAGTGAAATTCCATTTTAATCTAAATCCTTCAGAAATATTCTCAAGTTGATAAAAGATAAGTGCTCAAGTATGTTCTTTAACTGATATCTCCACTGAAGATACCTTTTCTTAGAGCTTTCAATACTTTGATTGTAAATCTGAAAATATGAGCCGGTATGTCTAAGGATTCAGCTGGTGAGCCTTTTAAATGTTTGTTCAGATACAGCAATAAAGAGTAGCCTTCCAATATCTGAAGAGGGCCTGCAAGGATGTCGGAGAGGAGCTCTTCATCAGGGACTGTAGTGATAGGGGAATGGGTAATGGGTTCAAACTTAAACAGGGAAAGTTTAGATTTGATATAAGGAGGAAGTTCTTTACTGTGAGGGTGGTGAGGCACTGGAATGGGTTGCTCCGGGAAGTTGTGAATGCTCTGTCCCTGGCAGTGTTCAAGGCCAGCTTGGACAGAGCCTTGGGTGGCATGGTTTAGTGTGAGGTGTCGCTGCCTATGGTAGGGGTGTTGGAACTAGATGATCTTAAGGTCCTTTCCAACTCAAACCATTCTATGATTCTATGAAATTCCTTCAGTTGTGCATATTTCTGATACTGTGCCTATTCGTGAGCAGCAAAAACATACCCTAACGTTTCCAGTTGTGTTTTTATCTCTAATCCCCATAATCCTAGAAACATCTTAAGTGGTGGTGATAGTAGCAAGAATAATAATAAGCTTCATAACCTTATACATTTAAGGACATACAGGTATTTGTTTCTTTTGCCAGCTCTGGGTAGATCTGCTGAACTACTGGGTTTGGACTCTACTCAGCTAACTGAAGCGTTGACTCAGAGGTCAATGATACTCAGGGGAGAAGAAATCCTAACACCTCTTAGCATACAACAGGTAATCAGTGCATCTCAGTTGTGACATGGTTTTAGGTTTTATTAAATAATATGGCTCGGTGTTCAAGCCCAGGGAAATTATCAGGAACAGAAGCCTAGTTCATACATCAGAGTTGCTATCAAATTATGACGTAGGGTTTTTTTTTGGGGGGAAAGTATAACTGGACTTTAGAAATCTCTATAAATCCCCTTTTTGTCATTCTGGACAGCACTTGTAGCTTGGCTTTTGTTATTCTCATGAAGCCTGATAGCTTACCATTTTTTTTTCAAATCCTAATCGTGTAGGCTGATAATTTTTTATTATGGACATTTGTGTCAGGGGTGTTTTTGAAAACTTTCAACAGAAATAATGTTGTTATTTACCAAAAGAGGATTAGAAGTAGGTATACATAGTGTTATGCTGACCTCTAGAAAGCGGTAAGTTAAGGTGTTACTTCCTGTCCTTTTCTTTCCTTCATCCACACCTTACATTTATTATTTCCGAATATTTGAAGACTTTAGCTTTAAATGTAATTATAAAGCCACATATGTGTACAGCTGTTGTAACTTACACTGTTAAGTCTTAAAATTGTGATGATCAGTAACTGTTAACACAGTTGCTGTCGAAGGTACATACGGATGCAAACCTGCTTGCAAAGGATGCTGACCAGCAGAGCCTAGTAAGTTCTCAGTTACAGGAGTGATTGTTGCATTGTGTATTCTTTCTTTAACGCAGGCAGTAGACAGCAGAGATTCTATGGCTATGGCACTTTATTCTCAGTGTTTTGCTTGGGTCATTAAGAAAATCAACAGCAGAATCAGGAGCAAGGAAGACTTCAAGTCCATTGGAATTTTGGACATCTTTGGATTTGAAAACTTTGAGGTAGGTCTCAAAAGTTTGTGCATTGTTCTACATATCTTTGTCAACTTGATTATTGAACATGTTATGACTTCAACCATTTCCTTGTTTGCAATGTGGAATACTTGGAGTGCATGCATTTTTGAAAATTTCTTGTGTCTTTAGGTAAACCGTTTTGAGCAGTTCAATATTAACTATGCGAATGAAAAGCTTCAGGAGTATTTCAACAAGCACATCTTTTCCTTGGAGCAGCTGGAATACAGCAGGTAAGAGACAGATGAAATCTGGAAAAATTCTGGAAATACCAGTGTTCACTTGAAATCAAGGTCCCCAGCTTCTTCCTTTGAAAATGTCTGGAGCTGGGTATTTTTTAAAAGCAAGCTGATTTTGCTGTAATGTAATGTTCATCAGCTCCTCCTGTTTCTATTTTCAAAATAACTTTGTCATAGTTCTCAATAAAAAGACCCTTCTTGCTTTCCTTAGGGAAGGACTAATTTGGGAGGATATTGACTGGACAGACAATGGAGAATGCTTGGATCTTATTGAAAAGGTAATAAAGTATTTGATACTAGTACCTATTTCTAGATTTTGATCTGTGGCAGTATGTCTTTAAAACACTTGCCAGCACAAAGAACAAGTGAAGAGAACGGTGGATCTTGCATGTTTAAATAGCGAACTTTTAATCAGATCATTTTCATGCGTGGCAATGTTATAGATTATATTGTAAGCTCAATATGTGTGTGTAAATTTTAACAGTGTATGTTTATATACAAAAGCAATATTTGAAGATGATTCAAAAGAATAGAAAGAGGAGGCAGAAAGAGTGGCAGTGTCTCACTCCCGTAATGGCCTTTCATGGGATGTAGGTGATACTCGTTTGTTGCCTGACAGTTTTGGCTTCATCCATATTTTTGTTTGTGTCCTGATTTGTAGTAAAGAAATGTATAAAAAAACATGGAGTTTCTTCAGAGTTATTGGTAGCAACATGGGTGGTGATGGGCAGATGATTCTGAATTAACTACATAGAAATTATAACTCTGGCTGGATGACAAAGCTGAAGTCATCATTTCATCCATGTTCACGTCTGCCAGCAGTACAAGTGGGCTGCATGAGTTTATCTTTGTAGTGGGGTCTGTGGCTGTGTGAGTTTAACCTGCCACAGAAACTGATGGCAGTGGGAAAGGGGATCCAGCTGCCAGGACGTGACTGCAGTCAGGACCGTGTGGTGTGTCAGGAGCTGCTCTGGGCCGATGGGAAATGGCTTATTAAAGTGTGCACCTGGAGATCTGTGTTTTCCTGAGGGGCTGTTTGAGCCTGAAGCTTGCTGGACACATTAATTGCAGGGTAGCTTGCTCTGTTTACCACCTCTCCTAGTATAAGAAGTAGGGAACATCAAAGGAAATTACAGACACGTATGCAAAAGCAAAGGGAAGTTGTGTTTCACGCAGTGCCTAGTTAAGCTCTGTATCTTTTGCTGTGTTCAGGAGCACTGTAGGTGCTGCAAGTTGGTGTGGATTTGACAACTAAGTAGATAGTTTTGTGGAAGAAAAAATTTTGAAAGGCTGTTTACACAAACTCCTGAGATTTAGGGGACTCCTGATCACTGGAGGTCTTGGAGAGTGGTTATATAGTCAGGGGCAATTGTATGCACTGAAAACCTACCTTCAGTCTGTGAGATTGGGGTTTTTGTCATGTATCGGTGGTTTTGTGACTCTTTGCACACAACAACTTCAAGGACAGTGTGGGTTTTTTTTTTTTGTTTTCAAACTGGAGACAACATCTGTGTCCATCTGTGCACTAATTTCTCTTCTGCCTTTTCTTGCTGTTCTAGAAACTGGGGCTGCTGGCACTCATCAATGAAGAGAGCCATTTTCCTCAAGCTACTGATGCCACATTGCTGGAGAAGTTGAACACCCAGCATGCAGTATGTGGTGTTTTACTCATGTTTTCTGTGCAAATTATGGACGGTCTCTTTGCTTCTGTAGAAATTCATGGTTCAAATATACAGATACACAGTTTTAGAGGCTGGTTTGGATGTGATCCTACTTCCATGGCAATCCATATAATTTACTGTCAAGACTGAGTAGGTTACCCGGAAGAACATATCCTTGTTACTGTCCAGTTTGTGGATTCCATATTGGTGAATAAGCCAAATTCTACTTTTAGAGCTCTGACAACCTGCAGTAACTCAATTACTTACATCTTCACTTTCCTTAGATTTAATGAAGTATTCACCTTGATGTCATTTCTGGAAAGGTTGCTGTTCCCTCTGTGCAGATTACTGATACCTTTATTTGTGATCCTAGAATTGTTTTCACGTATTTCTGGGATCCAAGTGTACCCCCCCAGTTTTTATAAATGCCAGTTTAAGATAGTGTCTTTTTATTTCAAAGTGCCTTTAATAGATGGTCCTGCCAGATGGGTTCAGGTTTAGTATAATGCCTTTTTAGATACTATTAATCTGTTATTACTGCATTTGAAGCATCTCAGACTAACAAATCCTATTATTGTTATAAATTGGTTGTTTGCTTTTGGAGCGCTAATCTCCTGGGGAGTTCACTGGAAGACAATGGTTTGTTTAGGTCTGGGTTGGGAGGATAATGTGGCCCTTTGTTTCATTCCTTTATGCACCCTTCCCCTCAAAAAAAAAATTTTTCTCTTTTCTTTCCCCTCCAATTAGAACAATCCTTTTTATGTAAAACCAAGAGTTGCTGTTCACAACTTTGGAGTGAAGCACTACGCCGGGGAGGTAATTTTCTTTTATTTATTTGCTGAAATTATTCCCAACAGAGATTTCATTAGCTTAATTTTGCCCTGAGGCTGCTCAAAATTAACTAAAGCACTCTGTTCCCTCAGCACTTCTTACAGTACCACTCCTGTGAGATGTGCCTGACTACTTGGCTTGTTGTTTGAATCAGCTCTGTTTCCTGCTAGGTCCAGTATGATGTCAGGGGGATCTTGGAGAAGAACAGAGATACTTTCAGAGACGATCTTCTGAACTTGTTACGTGAAAGCAGGTGAGTTTCTGCAACTTTTGTTTAGAACATGAACTTATGGGGTGTTGTATCATCAAATTCTGACGGGGTTTTTGAATGTGTTAGATGTTGCATAGCATCAGACCTTGACAAATGAGACCTTGAAATGAGCACAGAAGGAATATCAGAAGTACCTGTAAGCAGATCTGACTATAATCAGTTCTCACAAAGTTGGATTTCCCCACATTATATAGTACCTCATCTGTGCTCAGTCCAGGGGTAGCTAGAGAGCTCAGTTGCTACTCAGTGGTGAGTAAAGATGCTGAAAGCTGATGATGATTTTTAACGGTTTCAGGGTGCCTCATAGTCAGTGTCTGTGCATTTTTTTTTTTTGCTTCACATACTGCCTAATTTGCTTGTATTTCTGGCAGTCCCTAATTTGCTTGAAAGCTGTGTCGGAGACCTACCACAGTGCAAATTGCCGTATAGTAATTGCTTCAAAGGGAGAATTCTATGAAGATTTATGTTACTGAAAGTCTGAGCTTTGGATGTCTCTGGTACCTGCACGCCTCCTGTTATTCTCCTGTGTAAGGTCTCAGAATCCTTACAGTGGCACTATGTGAGCCGGAGCAGTATCACATCCCATTTTTGTAGGCATCTGGTTGAGACTCCAGGACACAGAAAGGGGTGACAGAAGAGAAGAGAGCTGAGCCCAGGTGTTGCTGTCTCAGCTGTTGCCCCCACGCATTCCATCCAGTCATCCTGCCATGCTGTATGAGTTGCTTGTTTGTAAATCCCTTAAGCCCTTCTGTGCAGGGGAAACTGTTGATAAACATTTTCCTCTCTTAAGTCATTTATTTTGGTTTCATGGCATACCTGACATAACATCTATCAGCTGAAGTATGTAGGTAGAAGTAATAAATGAGTTGAAGCTGCTGGGCCTGGTTTTACTCTTGCACCAACATCTGTCTGGAGCTCGAATTAAAAGGTCTGTTTTTCTGTAGAAGTGGTAAGAGGAGGATTCGTGGCTGATAGAGCAGAAAACAGCATACACAGCTAGTGTCTGAGAGTGAGACTTATGTGGGTGGTTATTTGTGTCATGGCTGCAAGCAAGCTGGAAGTGTTGTTTTAGTCTTTGTTCAGGTAAAATGCCAATTACAGTCAAATGGAATTTTGATTGAGTAAAATGCAGTAAGGACTTTAGAACTTCAAGTTTCATTTCCCTAATGATGTCTTGGGACTGGAGAAGTACCTCCTTGTTTTGTTTTGCTTTGCTTTGTTTTGTTTTTTTTTTCTCCCCTGCATAAATTCTGCAAAGATTATGGACAAAATCAGTAATCACTTTTTTGGATGGAAGAGCTGCTTTCTAGGGGACAATACTTTCTTTGCATTCTATAGCAGTAAACCTCATAGTCTGTTAAGATACGTTTTAGAGATACTGTTTTTCTTTCCCATTTCAGTCTCGATTTCATCTATGATCTGTTTGAACATGTTTCAAGTCGCAACAATCAAGACACTCTTAAATGTGGAAGCAAGCACCGAAAACCCACTGTCAGTCTGCAATTCAAGGTTAGTTAATGTGTCATCTCTGCTCTAATCAGTGATAGATCAACATCAATAAAGATTGCCACGGATTAGAACAAGCAAAACTTCGGCATCAAAACATTGCTGTCTATTCTGTGAAATTGCACTTATTAATTGACTAATTGGCTAGCTTCAAGCAGACTAGGTAGCTTCAACTAGCTGTCTTCAAGCAGACACTAAGCTTTGCATTGCACCATCCACACAGAACTCCTGTTCCTATTGCTTTCCAGTTGCCTGTTTGTCCTTATTTTAAAGCTCATGTATGAAGTTGGTCTCTCTTGCCCTGTTTTTTCTTTCTAATCTAAAACGTATCACAGAATCACACAAAGCCTTACAGCAGTGCCTGTATGCTAGGAAAAATAAGTACTGAATAAATACCTCATTAAGGTGTTGCCTCGCTTTTTAACTTAAAGTTTGGAAAGCATTTTTATTAAACACCTTTTAATGAGGCTTTATGGCCCTCCCATCAAAAATGGCACTAAATTGAAATCTAGCATAAAATTTATCTGCAAATTATTTAAAAGAGAGAGATTGGCATGAAACCTTTTCTAAATTGCGTGAGTACAAGTCTGGATTAGTTGTCTTTCATTTGGTTTGAATTAATATATATTTGCACTCTTCATTCACTTAAAGAAAAGAAAAAAAAAAAGGAAGCAGACTCAAACCCCTTGAGGGCAGATTTTATCCTAGCAGACTATTGCTAAGTGTTGGACAGAAGAGCAAGGAGTGTATGCTTGGGCACACACAGTGTCTTTTATTAAAAAGCACTAATATTCCTTTGCTTTGTGCTACCATCACTTGGCTCAGACAATACCTGCTTCTTGTGGTGAGGTGATATTATTTGCTAGCTCTCTGGGATGCTGAAAGTAATGTTTCCACTTAATAATTTGTGCCTGTGCAAAGTAGACCTTTAAGATGTTACTGTATAAAAAATGACCATTTATTTGCACCGACTTTGCAAGGTAGAACATAATGTACATTCCTTCTCTTCTCCATCGGGGCCCCTGGACAATATAAAGTATGATAAAACATGAAATCAAAATGTTGTTTTGATAACTAACTCTTACCTGAAGCTGAGTAACTGGCCATTAGCCATCTGGGCTGCTTTACAGGAGGTTGACCTCTTGTAAAGAGGTCATCATCCCATTCCCAAAGAATTCGGTTGGGTGGGTTTTTCCATGGTTTAAAGTCTACCAGGGATTAGTCCATCTCATTTCAACTGAAGATAAGAACTTTGCCTTCACAGTTTTGTTCTCATGGTAGGTTGGTTAACTCTTCTTTCCATTTGACAGCTTGCCTAATGTGGGCCTGGGAGTGCACACAGAATAGCTGAGGTTAGATAGCATCTGTTTCAGCCTGTTGCTTAAAGCAGGGCGAACTTCAGATTAGCTTGTCACCTGACAGTGATTTAGAGGCTTGCAGTGCTGTGCAGAACGTCTGTCTGTACCACAGATGAATGTGAAAATAGGTTAAATCGTTTTTGTTTAGACTGATCATTTTTTCCAGTCTCCTAAGTAGTAGCCTGGCTTGAGAGAATTGGCTTAGTTGTCCGTAGATGATGTAATGTTCACACAGGTTTAATAGAAATGAAGCCTTTACTTTTTGAGGCTGTAAATACCTGTCTTTACATAAAAATATTTGTCTTTCTTTCTTCTGGCTGTTTAATGTTTGCTGCCACTTACTTTTGGTCTGTAAACTGGCAAAGGCAAACAAACCAAGAACTATCATTTACGTTCTCAGTCACTTCACCATTTGCTCCGTTTGCTCTGTGCACAGCCAAAACTCTGCCGTTGCCTTTATCACTTCATGTTTAATCATCAAGAAAGCCCTTGGTTTGCAGATTAAAGCAAGAATTTGTTGTAACAGACTGCCATTGGCAGTTTGGCTCCAAAACATATGGTAGGACGCACAGTGTTGCTCTTCTTACAAGTGAATTTTCTGTCTCCTTGGCAGCCTGCTCTATATTCTTTCCACTGCCTGGCACAAAGGGCCACCTTTGAGAAGTAAAACATTGTCATTGTTAGCTTTCTGGGCTCTTCAGAGCCTGGGCTCTGCTCTTCTACAGTCATTTGTATCTCTGCAAAGTAAATGCAAGACTTCAGTTTAAAATGGTTTATCATACTTAATGATACAGAATGAGGCAAGTTGGAATAAGATATGGAATCATGGCTCAGGCAGGAAAGGGGTGGATGTGTAATTAAAGTAATAATCATAAAAGGACTGAGGGATTTTTGTGATTTTTATCTCACAGGCTGAGGTTCAGACAACTGATAGTCTAATATGTATTGGGTCATTCAGAGTTCTAAAACTAGGAATGTTTTCTAATATGTTGTTTTTTTTTTCTAGCTGAACCTTATAGTCCTTCTTTTATTGTTAAATGCAATTAACTATCCCATGAAATAACTGTGAAATGGTGTGCTTAATGCTGTTAGCATTGTCCTTCAGTAAGATATGTTTTCTTTACTGCTTTATGCTTTACTCAGTTTTAGTTAGTTTCAAGAGGGTAGCATTTTCAAATCTAGTGTTGGTAAAACAATGTCTTCTATATTCTAAAGTAACTCTTTTTTTCCAGAAATTTGTAATATTTTTTCTATCTTCTTGTTGACATATGTTTACTATCAGTGTCCTTTTACCAGGAAAGATTGAGACCACACAGGAGAGAACTCCCTGTGCACAAAATGCTGCTGAGGGCAATGGAAAGTGAGTGGGTACAGGGTGGTTGAAATGAAAAGATGAAATTTGATTTTGTGGGTATTTCAGTTTTATCTTAGACCTCTTACCTTTCCTTTTGACTTGCTTGAGTTTAGCAGTTTAGGAATGTGGATCGCAAGTTTAAGCAGTCATTCAGAAGATCCCTGAAACAGCAACTTTCTAATTTGGTGTTTCCTTATGAACAGTTTTCTTCATATCAATCTTTAAAACTTATTCATTGTAGAATAGTGATGACAGTTTTGATCAGAAGCGCAGTGGAAAAAAAAAAAAGAATGCTTGTGTTGATTCTATGTGTTCACAAGCAAGAACTTGCACGGTACAGTAGTTTCTGGTGTACGCCACTAGGTGTTGCAGTTAGATGTTGTCTGCAATGCTAAGCCGCCGTAGCCTTTGCTGGGGTACGTTGCTTGTGTAAAAAAGCCAGTTTGTGAAGTGCTGTCTTCTTTTTACCCGTGTTTTAGGAATCTCTTCATTCTTTAATGGCAACGCTGAGTTCTTCAAATCCTTTCTTTGTTCGGTGCATCAAACCCAACATGCAGAAGGTAAGATTTAAAATTGCGCCCCTCTTTTTTGATACGTCTCAGGTCTAATCTTTCACTGTCTATCTGATTATTTATCACTGTGTGAAGGAGAGGGTATCATTCTTCACTGACTTTGTAAAAGGCTCTGAAAGGTGAAGGCATTGGGAAAGGCTTTTGATTTTTCTTGCACATGACCCATGTCTTTGGGCACCTTTTTAATAGTCATTGCTCGCAACTCTGGTAAGTTACTGGTTCCAAGGATACTTATGAAAGGAAAGCTGCACTGTGTATTTGTCAACTCTGTAAGAGTCTTCTTAGGATGAAAATGTCAAAACTACAAAGTTTGTTTTAAATCACTAGAGGCAGTGAATGGTGGTGCATGTAATAAAACCGATGTGAATGACCAACTCTCTGTCATCAGACTCTGTCTTTCAATTAATGTACAGTTCTAGATGTCTTTATGCTGGCTGTTCTGTCCTATTACGGAATTATGTTTTTAAAACAGACATGGAAACTAAGGCTTACTGTATCATTGTCTTTTGAGTCATGGATAATGAAAGGCAATGTCAACACTTACGTATGTTGGAAGGTTTTCTATAAACTAAGTGGTAATGGTATAGTAATCACTGAAGTTGATATTGTTAGCCCAGTCTTGATATTCTGTGGTTTTGTGCGTCTGGGTTTGGCTTTATAGACCGTTATTCAGGGCTGCTTATGTCAAAAATGCCACAGGCAGAGGTGCTAATGAATCTGGTTTATGGTTTTCACAAGGCCACTTAGAAATGGGTGACTTTGCTTTAAATCCAGTTTTACATGTTACGTCTTTCTGGGATGTCTGGTTAATCAGAACACTAACACATCAAGTCTGTCAGACTTCATTGCAAGTTTTTGTGTTATCTGGGCAGTTCATCCTCAACTTTACATGTTTTCAGTTGCTAACTGTTAACTCTGCTTTTGTACTGTTGCTTGTGATGTGTCAAATAGCATGCAGATTATGGACACCTTGGCAAGAGGGAACAGCCTGGAAACGAGTAAGACCTGCTTTCTGCCTCCTCAAGTGTTTGGTGCTCTCAGGTGTGCAGCCACCAGGTAGTCAAGCCCATGTGGATGACACTGCCTTGGCCAGCAGCTGGGGTCTGTGAGCCTGTGTGTGTAGCAAAGGCACTGATCTCCGAGGGAGGCAGTTTTGAAAAGCTTGTTTTCTTCCTGGTCCCATTTCTGCCTGGAAGGCTCATGAGCCTTCATAAAGCCCACCTGCTGCCATGAAGTATAGGAGGAATTTCAGTAACTCACACATTCTCCTTGTTTGTCCTTTTGCATCTGAGTTAGGCTCATCACAGTACCAAAGTCACAAGGATTTACCATGGCTGATGCAAAAACTGGGCACATGTATTTCCATGGCAAGGAAAACACTTGTGTTCCCACTCCCATGTTCCCTGTTGCTCTACCAGACTTTTCCCACTAGAATGCTCCATCCCTGACAAATTTGGCATATGCTGCTGTATCTGCGCATATCTTTTACTATGATTAAAACAAAGTTCTCAAAGAATGAGCAGCTGTGCAAGCAGAAGGAGCTTGAAACAGCCTTAGTCTCAGGCAACCACATCTAATTGCAGGAGTACATGCAGGAACAGATTGGGAAATTCCTGTAGACAATCCCTTTCAAAGTACGTGAAAAATGTCACTGAAGTCTTACACAAAAATGGTTGTCCTTGTTTTCCATTTGCTTTAATTTGATTGCAAATTTAACTTGATTCAATGGCTTTACCAAATAAGAAATCCTATTTGAAGAACAAGAGTAAAGGGTCACACAGTTTACCTGTTGTAGTTGATTCAGTAGATGACTTGAGGGGAAAATGAGAAGGAAAGCCATGTATAGGACTTGTTGAGAGCATTCTTGCCCAGGGAAGTGTTCTCAAAATATATTTTTGGGGATTCACTGTTTTAAGTTTTGTCTGCTGTGCACTCTCTGCTCCCCACCATGTCTTGCAGACAGTGATTTTTAGTGCCAGTCTGATGACGTTGTTGGTGTTGCTCCTTCTGCAATGGCGCAGGTAGAGAAGCAGGCCCGTGAACGGTGTTTGCCTCCTCTTTAGTTCAGCTCAACTCTGTAGATGTGCATCATGTTAAACATTTCACGGTTCATGCTGTCATACAACTTGTTGCTGCTTTTCGGTTAGACTGAAAATCAGGAGAGTCAGTTTGCATAGCTCTGAACCTGCATGGCTCAGAGACACATTAGCTGTGCATGGACTACCAGGGATTACAGTGTCTGTGACTCACTATGCAGGGCTGACTGGAAACATAACTGCTTGAAACACGCAGATGAGCCACTGAAATGGAGCAAATGAATTGAAAGAAAGTAAAAATCTTCACTGAGCACTTTCCTCTGTGTTTTCCATCTGTAGTTTTTACTCTGCAGTGATGGTGATATGGAATGACAAAATGTCACTCTTCAAAAAATACTTAAACAGTGCTTGCCAAGTAACAAATGATGTGAAAGAAAGGGGTGTCTTAATTGCTTTTTTGAAATATGCAGCATTAAAGGTGAACTGGACCAGAGAGACTGGGCAAGGAGGGAACTGAAACTGTGTTATCTGGAGCAAAGCCACTCAAGCTGTTGATTGCTTTCTGGGTTGGGTACAAATAGGTAACGCACCTATTGGTGAGCATCCTCTGTAACTCTGGAGGGGGACGAGCTGGTGGTGTTCAAGAGCTGTTTTATTCTGGAGGTGTGTTTGAATTCTGTAGGTGAATGAGTTTGAGCAGGCGGAAAACAAATTCAAGCCTTTGAGAAGCAGAACGTGCAGCAGACAGTACTTCCTCTGCTCTTCTAGACATGAAAGTGTATTCGTGTTGGATAAGAAATGTGATGATTTACAGTAATTATTTTGTTATCAAAAGTATAATTTTTAAATAGGTTACAGTGGCAAGCAAATAAATTCAACATATGCAGCAAACTGCTGAATATTTACATATCAAAGCAGAATCTGCACTCATTAGTGCAGATTCCTAAAGGGAGCACGCAGAATACGTGACCTTTTGTCACAAGACATTTCAGTGAGCAGGCCTCAGACAGAAGAACAGAGGAGCCATTAATCTTTGGCAGACCCCCAAACAATCAGCGTATCTGTTTTCACAGTTTCTGGTCTGTTCTGAACTAGCCACAGCATGGAAGCTTTTCCACTTGGTATGCTTAATGAGTATTTTCTGCTGATGAAGGGTCTTTCTCCTCAGCTCCCCTTATCTTCAGTGGGCCTTGCAGAACTATGTATCGTTTAATCCTTTTGGACTTTAACACATCTTTCTCTATTTTATTGGTCTCATGTTTCTATTTCTGCCTCCTGTTCTATTCTATAATAATTCCTCCCTGCAACATTGCCTTTTCTGGTCTCCATCTATCCTTTTTAGAGCACCTTAAATTAAAAAAAGAGGCAAACGCAACCATCACACACACAGAAAAAAAGGCAAACAAAAAAGGCTGCCTTTTTAAAACAAGCTACAGCCATTGCTACAGCACTCAGATGAATGTTTCTTCCAGCTTGCTGCTATTAATAAAGTTGCTAAGCCTTGGCGCAGCCCAGGAGACAGTTCAGGGTAAATGTAAGATCTGAACTTGCTATACAAGATCTTTCAAAGACAGAAATTTTCCTGTTGGCCAGAAGGAGCAGCCTCAGACAGACTGGCTCAGGTGCCTTCTAAAGTTCCCTTCTTCATTTAGGATTTTTCTTCAGAAAATATACTGGCATAATCACAGCAAGTGCCATAATATTGGCGTAATCATTGCAAGTGGCCCCAGCCCCCAGCATTGGCACCTCCACATCTGTGCTGATCTCTTAAAACTCAGTAATTGCAGCTTGCTGCTGTAATTCCCTGTTCTTGAGACTTCAGCAGGTTCAGACCTGGCTGATCGCTCATGCACCTAAATAGGTGCAACCACTTCTCTTTTTTACAGATGTAAGTCCAGTTTGGTCCTGATAAGCAAATTCCTGGCTTCATTAGAGTTGGCATGAATGTGGACAAGATGTAGACAAGAATTTCACTTTGTGCAGGGTTTGGTTTGGTTTTGTGTTCAGGAAACCTGTGTTGGTATGTGCGCCACCTGAAGAGGCTTGCAGGGTCTCTGCTCACCTCCCTGTCTGCTCCTTTACTGTCTTATTCCTCTGTTGCAGTGATGGGCTTGCCACTGGGAAGATGAAAGTCGCCTTCTCTGAAGCTTGTGAGCTCTGAAGGGGCAATTCTGTTTCTCTGAGGGTTTTATATATTGATTTTTTTTTTTAAATCTTCAAATTTAATTAGGTAAAGAAATGAGATTAAGTCTGCATTGTAAACTTAATGGAGGGTCAGAGCTACAGGGAGCAATGAAAAAGTGAAACTAGTAATAACTGCAGTTGAAAGGAAGACTGGTAGAAAAAGGTCTGTAATAAATTCTGTGAGGCTTACTGCTGGTTAGAGCCCTATCTTGCTCCATATTCACTCAGGGAAAATTACTATCATGGCAGTAGGATTGCTAACATCGCTTCTGGGGACAGAGACATTTAAAGGCATCAAGGTATGACTATTGGCACCCTGCATTGTACTTTGATGCATCGGTCATTAGTAGCTATGAGATGTCCTGGAATAGCAAGTAGTATGTCCCCTAATAGGAAATAAGATGCGAACCTATTTCACTTGGCGTCTGAATTAAACTTGTGCTCCTAAAATAGCTCTGAATCATTGCAAACATAAGTATAGCATGATACCAACCTAAACACCAGTTAGAAATACAGCTCAGGAGAGTAGTACAAAGGAACAATGACAGAACAGGTTGGCCCCATATGCAAGGATGATTGTCTGCAGGGTGTGGAGCAGGTACAAGTTCAGTGAATGCAGTATGTGAACTGGTTGTCAAGCTGGAATTGCAATATTGTCTTATTGAGACTTGCCTGTATGAATTACTAGTTAGCCTTTTAGAGCGATTGGTTTTGGTTGGTTTTTTTCCAAAAATTCAGTTAATGGTAGTGAGAGTGTGATGCTGCTGC